CTGGGTGCTCCTGTATTGGGTGCATATATATTTAGGATAGTTAGCTCTTCTTGTTGAATTGATCCCTTTACCATTATGTAAAGGCCTTCTTTGTTTCTTTTGATCTTTGTTGGTTTAAAGTCTGTTTTATCAGAGACTAGAATTGCAACCCCTGCCTTTTTTTGTTTTCTACTTGCTTGGTAGATCTTCCTCCATCCCTTTATTTTGAACCTATGTGTGTCTCTGCACGTGAGATGGGCCTCCTGAATACAGCACACTGATGGGTCTTGACTCTATCTAATTTGCCAGTCTGTGTCTTTTAAATGCAGCGTTTAGCCCATTTACCTTTAAGGTTAATATTGTTATGTGTGAATTTGATCCTGTCATTATGATGTTAGCTGGTTATGTTGCTCGTTAATTGATGCAGTTTCTTCCTAGCATCGATGGACTTTACATTTTGGCATGTTTTTGCAGTAGTTCGTTCCTTTCCATGTTTAGTGCTTCCTTCAGGATCTCTTGTAGGGCAGGCCTGGTGGTGACAAAATCTGTCAGCATTTGCTTGTCTGTAAAGGATTTTATTTCTCCTTCAATTATGAAGCTTAGTTTGGCTGGATATGAAATTCTGGGTTGAAAATTCTTTTCTTTAAGAATGTTGAATATTGAGCCCCACTCTCTTCTGGCTTGTAGAGTTTCTGCCAAGAGATCTACTGTTAGTCTGATGGGCTTCCCTTTGTACATACCCCAACCTTTCTCTCTGGCTGCCCTTAACATTTAGGAAAAGCGGTTTAATGGATGACTCACAGTTCCACGTGGCTGGGGAGGCCTCACAGTCATGGCTGCAGGCGAGTAGGAGCAAGTCACATCTTTCATGGCAGCAGGGAAAAGAAGAGGTTGTGCAGGGAAACTTCCCTTTATAAAACCATCACATCTCATGAGACGTACTCACTGTCATGAGAACAGCAAGGGAAGACCTGCCCCCATGATTCAATTATCTCCCACTGGGTCCTTTCTATGATATGTGGGAATTGTGGGATCTACAACTCAATATGAAATTTGGGTGGGGACACAACCAAACCATATCACAGTGTATATTTATATATTTCATGAAAGCAGCTTATTTTGTTTTAAAATTAGTTTGTGATTGGTTAGTTGGTTGGTGTGGCCCTTGGCAATTCTAAACCAGGATTTCCAAACATAGAGTTTAGTTTACAATTTTGAATCTTACTTTTGTTTTTCCTGTGAAATTTTGAATCTTTTAGTAATACTATTCTTCAAGGCCTTGAAAATATTGACAGACATCTAAGATTAAACTGTGGAGTTATATAGAAAAGAAAGGATGATCATGCCATGTTTGAGGAAGACATACTAGAAACAAGCAGCTGTATTTATTTTTATCTTTGTTTTGTTTTATTTGAATTACTGCCAAATAGTACCAAGAGGAATCTTGAAAGATTCCTCTTTTTTATTTATTTATTTTTTTTTTGAGGAGTCTTTGAGCCTCTTTGAAGATTTTTATATAATGGAAGAAAAATTTCCAATTCATGTATTTGACTGATGTAATGTAGAAAATACAAAGACCAGTATTTAAATTACTGAATTCTCTCTCCTTGTCAGCCAAAGATGACTTGGCTATTGATTAAGACTGCAACAGATGTGAAAGTTCCAAAAAAGTGATGGAACCAACTCTGAGAGAAACAAGACATTGGCTTTATGTTTGTCCTTGGTGATGGTGGTTGTTTTTTTCTTTTAAGAATGTATATAGAGGCTGGGTGTGGTGGCTCATGCCTGTAATCGCAGCACTTTGGGAGGCCAATGTGGGCAGATCACACGGTCAAGAGATTGAGACCTCCCTGGCCAACTTGGTGAAACCCTGTCTCCACTAAAAATACAAAAATTAGCCAGGTGTGGTGGCAGGCACCTATAATCCCAGCTACTCAGGAGGCTGAGGCAGGAGAATCACTTTAACCCGGGAGGTGGAGGTTACAGTGAGCCCAGATCACACCATGGCACTCCAGCCTGGTGACAGAGTGAGACTCTGTCTCAAGGAAAAAAAAAAAAAAAAACGTATATAGAACATTAAAAAACTAGAGAAAATATTTGCACATATATCTAATACTTCAATCTTTTTATGGAACCTGTTATTTTGCTTCCATCTTTTCTTTTTTTCTTATCAATTCTCTTCTTCTATCCTTGACTCTCTTTGTTGATTGTGAGTTTATTGGCATAAACTTTCTCAGAGATGTTCCCAAGGAAGCATTTAGTCTTGGTACTGTAGTTGGCAAGTTGGTGTTTAAGATGACTAAGAAAATATAGCACTACCCAGATAATCCCATATCCCATGACCTACTTGTTAAGGAATCAGAGCTCCATAACCGGAGTCATCTAGACTCACTGCTTTCCTGCAACACTGGCATCATCATTAGTGGATTAACATTGAATGGGGCATTGTTGATCTTCTTAGCAACTGAACCCTGCCTTAGCCTAGCTTAGAGAACATGTGATGTTACATGAAAAACAGATGAGTAACACAATGCATATTAGAATATAATAAAATCAGTTTCATAAAGCCTAACATATTAACTTTAAGCATAAATATCCCTAATAATTGACTACATCCCCAAGAACATATCTTGTCATTTTCCATTTGCAGGAAAGAAAAGCAATGTATGTAATTGCAATATATTCAAAATTATTTTCTGATTTAGAATATTTATTTACTATCAGTGCATTGCTAATTGCCTATAATTTTGCCTTCTGTAATTATGCTAATATGATGAATAAAGTGTAGTCTGCAGTATTAATTTTTTATGCCTATTTTTCAATTGGATGGCTCTGCATGCATTTATTTATGGCTTAGATGCATCTCATCTATGTGTGTAAATATTTTCTTGTTTGCTTATTTGCCTTTGCTTATTTGCATTTAATGAACTAAGATTTCACCTCACTTTACCATATCCAGACACTGCTCTACTTATTTTTCTAATAGTTTATAAGTCATGCAACATAGCATTTTATGTTAATAAGGCATCTTTCATATAATGACATTACGTGTTATGCCAAGAAAAGTCTTGCTATTTTGTGTGTGTGTTTAACGTTATCTAATGTACGTCTATGCCATTAAAGTCAGTGATATATTTTGACAGTCAATTATGCTCAGCAACTGAGTATTTGAAGGAAGCAATGTAGTGTAAATATTGAGGTTTTATGTGTAAAATATCTATATTTTTCAGGCAGTTCAGGGTTAATGTATGCTTGAGTCCCTCAGAGTAAGTCACATGTATTAACACATTGGCCTCTGGCACAGTTTTTTGAATATCACCCAATAGCGGGATTACTAGGGCTTATTGTCTTCCATGGCACAAAATAAGATTAGACTATGATTAGAAGAAATCACACTCAAGTGAATACAAGCTGCTGAAATAATGTTTCCAAGATCAAATGCAATAACTATGACCAAGGACAATAGGTCTTTTTCAAAGGTTTCCGTATTTTCATTAAATTATATAAGGAAATTATATAAGGAAAAGAATAAAATCTTTATTTTAAAAATTTTAAAGAGCATGAGTTATATTTTTAAAAATCTGTTGTTTTGAACTTACACCCCAAAAGTTTAACATTAGTTTTAATCTTACTTAGATATCCCTAGTTGAAGCTTTTCAAATTTTTTATGTGGTCTGAATATGTAATTTCAGAATATCAAAAAATTACATATTGCTTTTGGAGAAATTAGCTTACATGTTACTAGGGTTTTAAATTATTTTTTTCTCTTGTTTAATGCTTGTCAGCAGCTATGATGGTGGGGAGGAGTAATTTTTTTGCAGCCTATTGGCTAGCATTGGAAGTAGTGCTGAGGTGGGGTTAGGGATGAAAAAATGGTTAAGTCAAGTATTCATTCAGCTATTTAATATTCATCTACTAGGGCTGCTAGAAGCAGACACATTTCCTAATTTAAGGATATTTTTGAATACAAAGATGGATGTCCTCCTTTGAGCTCCTAGGTGTCATATATCTAATAAATAATGTGAATGTATAAAGACAAATGAAAAGAACTATGCACAACATGTGTGATTCCTACTTCCCTGACTCAGCTGGGTTCTATCTGATAAGAGCTTTTCATATAAATAGAAGATGAGGAATATTTCCTATCTTATTGCCAAATGTGTTATGCCCAAAGAAAGAAATTGGTATTATGGGAAGATCACTTATCACTGTCCATTATCTCAAATTTATTTCTCCTCAGTTAATATTCATCTTCAAGGCCCAGTTAGATTTTCTTGCCAAAGCCTAATGCTCAAACTAATTGTGTTTTCCAAATATGGAAACTGACTTTGAGTTTTGTGTATAGATTAGTGTGTAGAATTGGCCAATAAGTTGGTTTTGTAATTACATTTATTTAATACAGTTTTTCAATAAGTCAGGAAAATTATTGTTTGGAAGATACATTACCGACCACTAAGAAAATTATGTATACAATTTCAAGATGTACTATAAAATTGATTAAAATTCAGTTATATCAAAGGGTAGAAAACATCAATATTAGGATCTATGGCATGTAGACTAACTAAAGATTCATAATTGAATAATGCTTAACAAGTCCCCCGTGATGTAGCAAGCATGGGTACTATTGTCTGCCCTGCAAAGGGAAGGCATGAGAGTCATTCAGTCCAGAAGCACTTATTAAGCATCCAGCAGGTGCCAGGTATGACGCCAAGTTTTCAGCCTGCAACAGAGAACAAAGCAAACATTGTCTCTTTTTGTGGATATGTGAAGGGCTCTTAACTGGCTAAACTCACACACTATGTCAGGCATCTAGAGGTCACCTGTATGTCTAACCAGCCTAGCACAGACGTTACCAAATTAGCCTCCTGAAAATGGTGACGGTTTAAAAATACTAACTCAGATGCAAAAAATACAGAAGAGATAAGTAAATAATATATGCATTTCCAGTCTTTTTCCAAAAAGTACATGTTAATGGTTTCCTGCATACCGGTTTCATTTTTAAACCTTTCCTCTGACCGTAGGAGCTGATGCTGTGGAAGCTCAGTGTAAGAGATTTGAAGTGAGAGCCAGTGAAGATGGCAGGGTGCTGTTTTCTGCAGATGAAGATGAGATTACCATTGGTGCTGAAAAGCTGAAAGTTACAGGTACTGTAGATGGAGGTCTTGGAAAATGGTTTACTTCTTTAAAGAACACAACTGCACAAGAAGCTACTTAATAAGATGGATGATTCCTATGCATAAAATAGAGTCTTACATAATCACAGCGTTTGTTTTTCAAATAGTCTTCAAATGGACGGCACTGGATGTGGTTGTAGAAGAGAGTGCAGATGTTAGCAGCCTTAATGACATAAAAGTAAAGCCATCTCTCAGGTGGAGGTAGGTGGAAGAAAATGATATGGCTGGGCGGGGTAGAGATAAGTGCAAATTCTGAGCAAAGGGGACTAACAAATCATAATTAGGGAGTATTATTTTAAAATAAGAGACGTGTGAAGGAACTAAAATGGAAATTTTAACTTTAGAATTAAGTAAGGGGGAAGTTATAAAAGTAAACTAAATTCATTTTATATAGCGTTCATAATTATCCTCAAAAGTATGTAAATAAAAAACGAATGCTATGCACATATTATTTCAAAATCATTATTATAATATTGGGGTCATTAAAGTTAACCAACAGCTGAAATTAAAATTTTAGAAAAGGTAAAAGTGGGACCAGGAGTGGCGAATAATTTGATGACAATTTTAAGCGCAATCTCTTCTGAATTACTTGATTCACAACCATGAGAAATTTTATTTTGATAACATATTTTTATTATTATTATTATTATACTTTAAGTTCTAGGGTACATGTGCATAACGTGCAGGTTTGTTACATATGTATACTTGTGCCATGTTGGTGTGCTGCACCCATCAACTCATCAGCACCCATCAACTCGTCATTTACATCAGGTATAACTCCCAATGCAATCCCTCCATTTAACAATCCCTTGAAAGTACCCAAGGAGGTCTACATTTTAAAAAACAAGAAGAAAATAATAAAGTATAGTTGACTTAATGTTTCCCGAACTTGAGTTTGGAAACAGCTCATGAGTATCTATCCATATTAATTTGGGTCAAACAGTCCTGTGGGCCACGTGAGAGCAGTTAGCATGGCAGTTGAAGAACATCAACTCTGTTCTTGAGCTGTTTGGGTTGAATCCTGCCTCTGCCTCAATATATTCAATTCTTGATGCCTCTGTTTTTCCCTCATTTGAATGACTGAAATGATAGTAACTTCAGTAGTCCAATTAAATGCATGTGTGTGCATTTGTGTGATGAGAATGTGCTCAGTCCATAATGAAGATGTTGTGTTGGCTCTTTATATTTATTAATGATGGTAATATTGATATTACAAATGTCGGCGACAAAAAGGCCTGTGTTGATTTTGAGAAATGTGTGTTAAACTAATGCAGGAACAGGAAGCCAAATACCACATGTTATCATTTATAAGTGGGAGCTATAAGTGATGAGAACACATGGACACATAGAGGGGAAAAACACACACTGGAGCTTATAAGTGGGTGGAGGTTGGGAGGAGGGAGAGGATCAGCAAAAATAACTAATGAGTATTAGGTTTAATACCTGGGTGACAAAATAATCTGTACGACAAACCCCTATGACACAAGTTTACCTCTGTAATAAACCTGCACATGTACTCCTGAACTTAAAATTTTATTTTAAAAGGCGTATTGGCTGGACATAGTGGCTCATGCCTATAATCCCAGCCCTTTGGGAAACAGAGGTGAGAGAATCGCTTGGTTCAAGTCCAGCCTGGGCAATATAGTGAGACCACGTGTCTACCACAGTTTTTTACAATGAACCAGGCATGAAGGTGTGTGTCCATAGTCCCAGCTACTCAGGAGGCTGATGTGGGAGGATAGCTTGAGTTCAGAAGATCAAGGCTGCAGTGAGCCAAGATCATGCCAGTGCAGTCTAGCACAAGTGACAGAGACAGACCCTCTCTCAAAAATATAATACAATAAAATAAAAAGATATGTTATCAAATGGTGATGAAATTCAACAGGGATTATTGAATGGGGACCCTCACTGTGTATCCGCTGGCCTGAATCAAATCCCACCACCCTTATCCCCACCCCGTCCCTCCTTTCCCTTGGGAGCATGTTCTGCTGAAAGGGTGGAGCCTCCACCATTGGGTGAGTGTTTAGGATGGTCCCCATGAATACTTACCTGGTTGATGTCCATTTTTCTTAAGACTTCTTGGGAAGGCTAGGAAAGGAGGCATGTATGACAGGTACAGATTGACTTTCTTGAGTCCTGAGTTAGGAGAGCAGGGACAAAAAAAGAGAGAGAGAGAGTTCTGTTTGGCACAGAACACAGACAAATCATAAAGGACATTGGTTGTAGGGCCCTGAGCACTCATATTTGAATTGCTTATTGGTGAGTAAGTGAGGTGCCCTAGGGTAGAAATGCCTTCAGGGGAACTCGGCAATATTAATAATCTTTGAACCCTGGTAATGCCTATTGGTCATCACTCTTGAGACCAACGTAAGCCTGAGATAAATTTCAGGACATTACAGAACTTATCAAAAATATATTTAAGCCATATTCAGATATTCTCACTGGGTACTTTACAATCATAAGGGAGATTCTAGAGCTCTTGGCAGCTTTTACGATCTCATGGAATTTTCACTTCTTCTGATATTTATATTACCTTTACCTGTCTCATAGTTGTTCCAGTGAAGTAAAGGCGGATAGTCACATTCATTTTCTGCTTTTGCTTAGTAGCCCGGATATCATCCTTGAAATGTTGCTTGGGCTAAGTGCTTTCTTAGCCCAAATAGGCAAGAAAGTGCTTCCTGAAATATCTAAGTTTTTCTGCTTTTTAATTAAATGCCTTAAAGCAGTTGTCTCTTCTCTCTCCCTTTCTCTTTCTCCTTTGGTCTGTCTCTCTCCCTTCTTCCTCCTATTGTTTCTCCTGCTTCCCTATCCCATGTATGTGTAAAATGTTCTCGATTGATCTATATTTTCCCATCATCTCAGACACCCCTAGTTAATTATAAGTCAGTCTTATATGCGTTCTGATGATCTTAAGAAAATAATAAAGTTACAAGCAGATTATTGTAAAAGGTTGAAACATAATACTTAGAACGAAAGAAACACCCACAAACTGAGCGTGCCAGTAGCAATCAGTGTTGACTTTTAACCTGATGCAGATGTACAATAGGCTGAACATTGTTAATAAATAAATGGTAAATTCGAGAATATTTCATTTGATTAGAACTCTCCTCACTAAACAATCACATTTCTTTGTCTCCTACAATCACCCATTTACCACTTACACACTCTAGAGTCACAAACATACACACAGGCACATAGACAAACTAATTCTTGCCAGGCCTTTACTCCTTTACCAGAATAGCAGATATTAAATTTACAACAGCTTCATTCTTTCCCGTGATACTCCTTAAAGAAAGAAAAATAAAAATATCAAAGGCAAATGTAATTTAGAATTTCATGTGCTTAGAGGAAAAAAAAATGTGTATAGCATAGCATGCAGTTTTAGAGCATTAAGATTCATTAGTAACCTCACATATACTTTAAAGTAGTGCTTGAATCATTTGACAAATAACAGTACAAAGAGACATTGACTCCAGGGTGCTTCATATAAATTAGATACCTGTGCTGACAGGACTTCAAAGTTAGATGTGATGAGAGATGCGTGTGTAGTTTATTCTAGAATTTCAAATTCGTGGCACAAACTTATTTAAGCAATATTTACAGGAATTGAATTGGATCCCTTTCAGCTTTTAATTTTTTGAGCAATGCCATCTTATAAAGGAACTTGTCTTTCAGGATGACGTCAGTGGATGGATTCATTTAGACAAGGGGTGTGTCTGTACATCTGAGGCAAAATCAGTTATGACTATAGTAATTCACAGATCTAGGGTAGCTCATGATATTTACGTTCACTCTACCTAAAAAGCAGCAGGAATTTACCTGATACATTCAGATACTCATCGGTGCAGGGGGACAGAAGTAAAATGGTAAATACATACCTGAACACCACCACCTATGAATACCCCATCACCACAAAGAGCGATCACATGCTTAAGGTTTGTGACTTTTCACTCTTGACATTACTTGTCTTGCCCAGCAGAAGTCTGCTTGAATCTTAATATAATGATATTTATCTGACCTTAACATGTCTTCTCTGTATCACTGAATATATAGGAGTTTTATACTTTAGCTCACGTATGCACAATTGAAAACTATATTTTTATTTTGTATTCCCTACTATTGGCCAAAGGTATGACTGAATCCAATTATCTTTTGAGACCCAGCCAACAAGAACAACAAAAGGAATAAACCTTTACACACAGAAGTCTCTTAAATTTAGTGCTTTCAGGCAGAATCAGTCACCTGCACTCTGCAGTTTCATTCGTATTCCATATAGTGTATTAACTTGAGAAAACAAATTTCACGAATAAGCCACTCTCCTTTAACAAGTGAAAGACATCAGCCCTGTAGACTTGTTTCATGATAAATTAAAAGCTATTAGACTTAGACCTAGACCTGTTTTTTTTTCTATGATGTAAAAGAGGACAATAGCTAAATGTACCAAGAGAAAGCATATCTATTTTTTTAGACAGTAGCAATTAAAACTGACAACCTGAAAGTATCGTGAAATCCCACTATGCATCCACCCAGTGCCCTAGTATTTGTTTGAAAGCCAGGAGTATCAGTCCTTTGCCTCCATTCTAATTGAATGGTTAGAAGTCTAGACAAGTTCCGATGCTTGTTTGACAACAGAAGAAAGGACTTTCTGAAGAGCTGTCTTTTAAATTAAACACCATGCTTCTGGGTTACAGTCAATATCTTCTGGTTTGTTTTTATTAGTTCATCTTCTACATCCTTGTTTTTGTCTATTAAATTGGCACACTGCGATGGGGTCAGCTTTGGACTCAACCTTTCTATTAGATAGGCCATTGTTCCTCTTCACTGTCCAAATGCCAAGAATGCGGTAACACTCAGGCAACAGGATGGAGCCACTTTGTCCAAATAGCCCATGAAGAAATGTGATTAGATTAGGTGCTGAGAAAAGGAACGTGCAATCACTTCATTTTCTCTGGTGAAGCATTAAAGTTTGT